CATATATATATATATATATATATATACTACCAGTCAAAGGTCTGGAATACATTTTTGAAAGAAAAATAAAAAAAATAAATATATATATATATATATACACACACACACACACACACACACACATACACATACACAAATACACATATAAATATATATTTAGTATGACAGCATCCGTGTAATCAGAGAAGCTCAGAGACACACCTGATGTGTGAGGGAAGCGTAGAGCAGGTAACCGGCCTGTGTGTGCACGATGCCCTTGGGTTTACCTGTACTACCTGAGGTATACAGCATGAACAGCATCTCCTCGCTGTCCATGGGCTCTGGAGCACACACTGAAGACTGTCCCGCCATCACCTGGCAGAGACAGAAAAAGTACATTGCATTTTTTTATATATATATTATAAGCACCATCTGTTTGTTTTTTTTACTGTTTTATTGTGTGTATTGCTGTATAATTGGCAAATACTATATGTAAAACAATCATACTAATAAAGTACTTTGGAATTGAAAAACTGCTAAATGTAGTTGCATGACATTAATCATCACATATTGCATATAGAATGTTTTATTCTATTTATGCTGTTTTTACGCTCATTCAGTTAAAATGCAAAATCATATGTTAATCCTGTAAAGATAAGCTTGGTAAGGGGAGGATGAGGTGTGAAGTTTTTTATCATCACGGTGTGCTGGTGTCAATGTGACAAGAGGATCTATTTGATATGGATGTTGCACAACTTACACAACTTTCCACACCTTCAAACGCAGCTGTGACTGTAGAGCTTCAGGAATTGTCTCTGGTGTTCTTCAGAACTGAATTAATAATCACTCAAGTGCAATACAGATTCACCAATCGCCTGGATATCTAATATGAGTTTCGGTCCAGCAGTCACAGTCAATTTTCATGCTTTCGTGCAGATATAAAAGAGTTAACATTCAGTCACGCCCTTCGTTGTTATTGTCTTGTATTGTATGTGTTGTGTAATTTAATAATAATGTTTGTTTAGTCTAAATGGATTTTCCACTTGTTTTGCCACTGTTAATGTCAGAGACTAATGCCTTTTCTGCAAATAATGAGATTAAACAAGATACTTACCCTGCAAACAAAACAATAATCTTAAAACATAACTCTAAAGCCCATTTTAACATCATATGGAGAGTTTACCGAGGCCCAGACCAGCTTTTCTGCACAGTAACTGTACGTTTTTTTCTCTTCTTTTTATCACATGTAATCTAGTATTTCCTTGATCTGTCCCTACAAATAGAAGACTGTCAAACTGGCCGACATGTAACCACTATGACCAATTCTAGACAAGGAAAATTCCTGCCCTTGTACAGAGTGGGTGAACATCACTATAGAGACACAGGCACTTCTGGCAAGACAAAACAAGACAGGCTGTACTCATAAATTAAGTAGAAATAGAACTATACTCCTAGTTCTGTGCCCTAATTAGGTACAATTTAGGGACACATTCCTTCTCCACTTCACAAAGCTTTGCAAAAACCCTGTTTCTGGTAGATGAAACTCTACAAAGTGCAAGCCTAGCAGAATGTGTCTTGCTGCGCAGATATAAAACACTTGGAAACATTTATGTATTTGATGCTTAGGCAAATGTAAACCCTTTTAATATCCTACTTATTCTAAAGCATTTCTCCTTTGTTGCAGACCATCCCTATTGTTGAGTCCTGACAGAGGTATATAAAAACCAAATTAAAAAAAATTGGCTTTCTAATCTGTACACTGCAGGAGGTCACTGCTATATGATTTACCTCATCTAATGAAATGTCTAGTTTGCCCATCGGCACGCTATTGTTAATTCTCTTGGCCACAAACACATGCCGGATAGACGGACAGCTCTTCACTGCTTTATCCACCGTGGACTTCAGATCGAAGATACGGCCGCCCCTCACACCTTGGTTGCATGTGATGACAAACTTGCACTGGGCTGTGTATGGAAGAGAAAGAAAAAAATTAAACACACACTATCCAGTCAATGTACAATAACTGATACAGCCAATGAGCTAACGTACTTGGAGCTAAATTTAGATATGATGGCTCTGCATGTGTAAATACGCTTCATTTTAGGTCATTTTTAAGAACGCATTTGATAAGTTCACTATATTTTTAAGAAACCTGTTTCAACCGAACCACTTTGTCTTTGGATGTTATTTGTTCATAATAAGATCAGAAAGAAACATCTGCTCAGTGTCTGCTGTATTAAATAAGATAATGAATGGCCTCTCTAAGAACAAACACCCTCTGAAACTTATCTCTGTCCAGACCATCACGTACACACACACGTATCCCAAAATACACAGGGTTTTTGTTTAGCTAACTAGCTTTCCCTCATTTAGTGTGACTCTTCAGTCGAGCTCAGCATTCCAGGAAAGTATACAGGAACTTTAGTAGAATTTAATAACCAGTAGAGGACTTTAATCTTTGTAGTTATTTTAAAAGTCAGCAAAAAACGAAATTGCCCATGTTAATGTTTTAATACAATTGCAATGTGCTTGGCACTGATAAATTGTGTACAATAAACACAATTTATCAGTGCGCATAAAAAGTCTTCACAAACTTTCACCAAAATATAATAACTTGCTCTGCCACTGAAGTGACTTGACTGATGTCACCAAGCCCATTTTTATTTCTATTATATTTCTATAGAAATCTACACTACTGTTCCAACAGTTTGGGGTTTTTCTAATGTTTTTGAAAGAAGTCTCTTATGCTCACCAAGGTTACATTTATTTTATACCTGCAGAAATGCAGAAAAAGTTTTATTACATTTTAAAAGAACTGTTATATTTGAATATGGTTTAAAATATTATTTATTTATGTTGATTGTGAAGCTGAATTTTCATGAGCCATTACTCCAGTCTTCAGTGTCACATGATCCTTCAGAAAACTGCTCTGCCACTGAAGTGACTTGACTGATGTCACCAAGCCCATTTTTATTTCTATTATATTTCTATAGAAATCTACACTACTGTTCCAACAGTTTGGGGTTTTTCTAATGTTTTTGAAAGAAGTCTCTTATGCTCACCAAGGTTACATTTATTTTATACCTGCAGAAATGCAGAAAAAGTTTTATTACATTTTAAAAGAACTGTTATATTTGAATATGGTTTAAAATATTATTTATTTATGTTGATTGTGAAGCTGAATTTTCATGAGCCATTACTCCAGTGTCACATGATCCTTCAGAAAAAAAGAAAGAAAAAAAAACATACTGACCCCAGACTTTTGAACAGTAAATTAAAACGGTTTCTATAGAAACCTATATATTTCTATACACTTCCACTTTTAACTAACCATTTAACATTTGCCAAATCTTTGTCATTAAATATCGTCCTAAAACATGTTGTGAATGCCATTTCATGCTTCCTTTAAAAAGACCAGAAATTAAAGCAACTGATCCTTCGCTAAACCCCGCCCTAAACCATTACTGACCAATCCTGCCTAAGCAACTGTTGCCATGCATCATTTTCTCAGACAAGCTTTTGCACATCTTGAACGTCTGTTTGTTCACACAGTTTCAAACACAACTTTACAAAAATGATCAAAAAAATAAAAGAGCATGTTTTTCTAGATCACTTTTAATAGTGGGTACCCTGAGAGGATATAATACGCAGTATAACTGACCTAAGCTTGAATTATTGTGTAAATTTTGCTCATTTAAAATCCTCATGGTCAGATAGCCATTTTGTTCAGTTTATCTCAGAAAAGATCTCCACATTCCTTGAAATCAATTCTACAGAAGGGATTTCTGCATCTTTACTTTGGGAAACGCTCAAAGTAATTTCTCGTTCTGCTTATATTAAGAAGTTGTGTAATAAAATGCTTTTTGAACTTTCTGAACAAATTGGTAAACTAGACCAGATTTACGTGCAACACCCAACTCCATTATTATATAATGAAAGTTTTTTTTCCCAATTTGAATATAACCTTCTTTCCACCACCCATGTTAAGCAGCTTCTTCTTAAATCATGACACCATTTTTATGAGTTCAGTGATAAACCAGGTAAAGCACTGGCACTACAACTTAAGACTTAAAACTGCAAAAAAAATGTATCACCCAAATCCAAACCCAAGAAGGCAATATTGTATTAGACTCCCAAGAAATTAATAATGAATTTAAATATTTTTTACTCCTCGTTGTATCAGTCAGATTTCCTTAAAGATCCTAATGTTACCAGTAGTTTTTTTTATATATATATATATAAATCTCAACATTCCTCAAATTAATAGTGAATCAAAAGCCAAATTGGATGAACCTATTAGTTTAGCTGAAATTTTGCAATCTATTGCACAAATGCAGAGTGGAGCCCAGATGGCTTTCCCACAGAGTTTTTTAAAAAGTTTTCCCCACTGCTTCTCTCTGTCTTTGAAGAATCTCTAAATAATGGTGGTCTCCCTCCTTCTTTGCGCCAAGCATCAATCTCTTTTAGGTTAGAAACTGTTATTTATTCATCATTCATCCAGAACAAAATGGCTTGATAAACGATACAGGGATTTTTAATCTCAGAAGGTTTATAAACATAATTTACACTTCAGTCTGACTCATTTGTGCCTGAGGCCTTAGTCTCTCTCGATGCAGAGAAGGCATTCAATCGTGTTGAGTGGGACTATTTATTCTACACCTTTAAAAAAATTGGGTTTGGTGATAAATTTGTGTCCTGGGTAAAACTTAATTTCTCTCTATGAAGATGACGTGCTGTTATGTCTTTCCTATGTCTTGAATGTTCTAAGACAGTTCAGTGGTGTCTCAGGTTATAAATTTAACTTGCATAATTAAAGGGGTCATATGATGCGGAGTGTTTTTGGAGTGTTTCAAGCTCTTGGTGCATAAAGAAGATCTGTAAAGTTGCAAAGACTAAAGTCTCAAATCCAAAGAGATATTCTTTATAAAAGTTAAGTCAACCACACCTACCTAAAATGGCGTTCTAACACGCCCCCACATGTCTACATCACGATGTGGGAAGATTTGCATAACGCCGCCCAAATGTTCACACAAAGAAAGAAGGCGTAACTTTTATTCATGAAGGCGCTGTGTTTCGTTGTGAAAGCGAAACTACTTTGGTTGGCCTTCC